AAAAAAAAAAAAAAAGAGAGGAGAGAGGAGGAGGTAGAGCGAAAACCCGGCGATGGGGGGCTGGCGGTCGGCCAGATAAAACACGAGCAGCACGGCAGCCGGGGCAGCGGCAGAGCGCGCCGCCGCCTCACGTGTCCCGCACCGGCCCGGCCGCGCCGCCACCGCAGCTTTAAAGGGCCAGGCCGGGCCCCGGCGCTCGCCGCCCGCACTCGCCCGCCAACAAAGGCCGGGCCGGGCCGGGCCGCTCCGCTCCGGGACGCGCCCGCCGGGCTCGGTCCCATGTCGGCCCCGGGCAGCGCGGGTCCCTCGCCGGCGGTGCGGCCGCCGGGCAGGCGCTGCCATCGCGGTGCGGGCTCGGCGCCTCGGGAGACGGCCGCCGCCGGGGTAAGATGTGGGCGGTGTAACTCGGCAGCGGGTCGGAGCTGTCCTGCCGGGAGGGTGACGGCACGGGGAATGACCTCTCGCGGAGAGCCCTGCCCCGACATTGTTCTTCCCAAGAGCATGGCGGGGCCGCGGGCTGCACCTCTCCCCAGGCTCCGCGGGCAGGGTGTCCCGCACAGCCCTCTCCCTCCGCCGGTGCTCGGTCCGCTCCCGTGCAAGCCGTGGTGCGGCGCCCCGCCACTGTGGCACAAGGAGATGGCCACAAAGGCCAGGGAGGACCCCGCWCTCTGGGCGTCCCCCAAAGAAAACGTTCGCACCTGGGCTTCATGTGCGACTTGGGCATTTCCTCCAGTCCCACTCCTCTCACAAGATCTTGCACTTCGGCTGAGAGCCACCCCTGTAACTGTCTGGTGGCATCCTTTCTCCCGTGCTCGGGGGTGGACAAGCGCAGGAGAGCGCTCAGGAGGAAAAGTTGCATTATCGTGTATAATACTGAAGAGGGCAGAGACACTGCTGCGACAGTCCTTGTGCTGGCTATCGAAATGCAGCCAGTTGTCTTGACACCTTATAAATTCTTATGTCCATTGATAAATAAGGAAACATACTCAGGCAAAAAGTTACTACAATCAAACATGTGCAGTCATGTACCAGCAAGGACTCTGCTGAGGAGACAGCTGAGTTGTTTTCTGTGGAATWGAAAAAGTACACTGCAGACAGATGGGCTAAAGAAAGAGTAATCCTAGAACACTTCTTAAGGCTGAAAATATTGCCAAAGTGTTCCTAATCCAATCACAAGACTCCCAAAGCCTGCTTCACTCCCATTCCCAAAAGCAACCAGCTATGGAAGATAGACACAGTCCACCTGTTAAATCTAACAGCTATCAGAAAAGCCTGGTAGTCCCATTGCATTTGTAAAATACTCGGTTCCCATCGCACCATGAAGAAATCCATAGGGCCCCACATCTATTCTATACATCAAAAGAATGAGCTGCTGTATGCCATCGGGATTCCAAGCAGAGGTTGTGAAGTCTATAGTTTGAAGTGCAGCAGCACATAACTTTTACAACATCCATTAACCTCTTTAAAGCATATTCATGTATCCATTTCTCTGGAAGAAAGTGTCAAAGCCTGTTGCTCCAAAACATTGATCTCTACAGAATCATCCTATGTGTGGTATTAATTGTTCCACTAGTCTTCCCTTGAGCAGTTCTAGTAAAAATACTGTAGTTCAAAGACTTTTTACATACAGCCATAAGCAAATAATTTTCACATGAGAGCAATATTCCTAAACTCACTGTTTGAAAACTGTTCTGGACAAGAAAAGCCTTGACGCTTGCACTGTGCCCAGAACAACAGAGTTTGGATCTTTCTACAATCTAATTATAGATTTACCATCTWAAGAATCAATATCCAAGACCTAAACAACTTTCATTTATTTGAAACTTATCCTGGTTCCCTCCTTAACCAAAAATCCTAAAATCCTAAATCAATGTGATATTCCTTATGGCAACTTTGTGGAAACAAAGCTCTCTAGACTTTTAAAAAAGCCGTTGTTCTTGTGTCATTTATATAYAGAGTACTTTAGCATAGGTAAGCAAGATGACATGCAGAACCCACAAAGCCTGACTTCCTCAAGTAGCTGATGGAAGCTGAGGAGCTAAAAACAGCTCTGGGGTTTGTTCCAGGTTCCTTCCCAAAAAATATGTGGTAGCTTTTCCTTCCACTGTTCCAATCCATCCTCTGACAGTATAGCTGTATTTGCACAATATTCAGGGCAAACACCAGTGAATACAACTGCATAATTGAAAGGACTACTGCAAAATTGCTGGAGTAGATGTGACCTACTTTCCACTGACTTTGGTCTGAGATTTCAGCTTCAGTCTATCAACAGAAGTATTAATTATGAGTGCTTTTTTTTTTTTTTGGTTTCTGGAACCACTCATAATGGGGTAGGAAATTTATAGACATAAAATAAGGCCTGGTTTCTACCCTCCATGAGCCTTAMACTCAGGACATCTCCAAAGAAATTAGAGGAACTTCCCAGAAGATTAAGAAGAAAACAATGAAAAATAATGTACAGGGTTTGCTCCCTAACCCAGATCACTTATAAAGAGGCCATTTGCTATTCTGTAATCAGTGTGATGGCTTGTAGAAGGTTAATTTGCCTCTGTTCCCAGAAGAGATTTTTTAAATTGTGCATTCTAATAGCAGCCATAATATTTTGCATCAGAACAAAGAACCAAGGTTACGGGAAAGTATCTTTCAAAAAGACAGAAAATTACAGGTTAAATAACCTTGGAGATTATAAATAGTAGCAATAAAAAGCTTCCCTTGTTCACTTCTTCATCTGTTTCCTTTCTCAAAAGCCCACGGATGCAGAAGAAACCCATGCTGTGTATGGTCATGGGGAGATGTTACCTATAGAGAGCAACCTAACACAACCCATACATGAGTTTAACTAACTCCCACCAGTGGAACTCTCTGAGCTCCGATGGTCTCAGCTGGTAGCGCTTTACATGAGGAGAGAACGTCTTTATTTTTTACAAGTTGAAAGTCTGTGATGCCAACTCTGTGATAGGAAGTGTGTCACCAACTTTATAATTCCTGCTCRCTGTGTACATCGGAGGGCAGAGTCAGGGCACCCCTCTGTTCTGCTCAGTGGAATCCTGTTTTCTCCACCTTAGTTCTCATGGAGTGCAAACTACTTAAAGGGGGCAGTGATAGTAAGTTTGAGGCCTTAGCTCAGGGGAAGCAGCATTGTTTTAGCTCTGAAAGAGATCTCTTGACAGGAATGGGAGAAGAGATGATAAAATTCAGAAGTTTTTTTTTTTACTGTTTCCTCAGTATTCCAAGAAGTTTACAGCTCTGCACTGCCTCAGAAAACTCCTTAGAGGAACAGCCTTGGCCTCCCAGGACTAGAGACTGCCATGTCTAGAATGGTTGTTATTTTGCTTGGGTATTTCACTTTTGTGACCAAGAGAAGGCAAAGATATTTATGTAGTTAATGGATACAAGGGGTACTTGYGGATCTGGGCATCTTGACACTCTGCTTCTAGAGAATTAGTCCATCCAGAAGTACATTTTGCAAATGTTGTCTACACTTGTTTTTATTTTCCCTGGTTCTTTTAGAATGTGCTGCCTCTAGGGATACAAGAGAGAGGGGAAGAGCAGACACAGGAACCTTGAGTGCACCAATCAGATGGGCCAGAGCATCATGGGTGGGTCTTCCACTATTTTCATCCAGCTGATGGGACCAACAGTGGCTGTTGCTTCATAATCAGCAACCTGGAGATGGCTCTGAGAATGCTTTAGGGAGGCATGACTGTGACTGACAAAAAAGACCCAGAAAAGAACATTAAGTCTCACTCTCAGGCCTTGTCTCCACTGGGGAATTTCTTCCCTCCTCCAAATTCCCACCATTGCCAATATGAATGCAGCTGCACAATTGTTAGACATGTTGGGAGGCATAATATATGAGTTTTCATCTAGTCAGCCATTTGCAGCACTGTGTCAATTAACCCTCCTCAGAGCAGGGTTAACTGATATAGTGCTGAAAACGGCTGCTGGAACTGAAAGCTGTCTATACTACGGTTCCCATTGTTGCTAACTCTGCTGCAGCTGCAGTGGAATCAGCCCACGTGGGATTATTTGGTAACAATTCTCCAACCTAAAAACTGCTTCAAAATGCAACACAGCCACCTTATGGGCCAGAACACACTTCTGCTGCACCTCAACAGCTATGCACCCRGGCTGTCACCATTCATAATAGGATTTCTTTCAGACCAGAAGGTATTTTTTGCATTTCTGTGTGAAATACCCAGTACTTCATCTCAGCAAACTGGTGGTCCTGTCACCCCCATAGAATTGCTTCTGCTCATTAGTTCTTACTAACTCTGGACTTGAAGATGTGTGTTGGAAGGGCCAATTTTCTGTTATTGTCTTTTCATTATATTCAGTAATTCAAAATAAAATCTGTCCTTTCATGTGTGGAAACTTTGTCATTTTAGTTTTAATTTGTTAGTGCAGATCCAGTTCTTTAATTTATGTCTGGAATTTCTGRTTGACTAGCAATTTTGCTTTTTTTACTCTTAACAAGTAAAGCCTTATTTATGCACAGCAGCACCATGAAGACTCAAGCTGATATCTGAGGGAGTAAAGTTCTATTTTGAATGAGCAGAGTTGGCAGAATCAGTCCCACTTGTTTCCATGTGCTTTAGGAAGCAGTTATGAAACAGGCTGCTAAAAAGGATGTTTCACCCTCTGCTGAGTAAGGCTAATACTTCTAAAAAGCCCCTCTCTATCCTTCTCCTACATCCATGTCCAACACCAACTAAAACAAGGAAGTGTTGTTTGGCATTTGTTACACTTTTGAACCACTATTTATCAGACAGATGCTGGCAGTCAGGTTTTTTTAAGTGCAGTTTGCAAGTGTGAAAATGTTGAAGCCCGGGCTCAGCARACATCCCAGTGAAAAACTCTAGCTCACTCAAGCCCCTGATTAATGACAAGCAGTTTTCAGTTCATGCATGGCATTTTATGCCAATACAGAACACAGCTATTTGYAGAATTCTGGGCAGCTGCAGATGCCCATGGATATCGACAAAGGCTCGACACACCCACCCGGGGAAATGGCAAAGGGGCAGACCCAGAGGGGATGCAATCCACAGCCTCCCAGCTGGAGCGGTGAGCACTAGAGCTTAGCTCGGGGTGTTGGGATGTTGAGCAAAACTGATTTGGCAGAAACTTGGATACAGCTGAGTATTTTGAGAAAGGGGAAAGGAAGTGGCTCACTCTTCCTTCATTCCTCATACTGCTGTGGCAGCTGTATCTTCCTCCCGGAGATCCCTTTGGACAAAGGGAGTGGGCACAGTAACTGAGTTGCCTGCAAAGCARGTGTGACAGCTGTCTGTGGAAGGAAGGAGTAGCTCCACACTGACTACCTTTCTAGCTCAGGTTGAGCTGTGGGAATGCATGATAAGCTTGTCAGATCACAGTTTTCATCAAACTTAGTAAACATGTTTATATGTTTGCTTAAATGGTTTTCATTAATCTCCTGAAAGGTTCTTATAAAAATGCTAAACTATTCCTATCRCAAATCCCAGTGGAACTGGATTTCTCCTATCCCTTACCCCTTTTCATTTTCCCTTCAATATTAGGCTCAATATCTTGCATATGGTTTTATATGAAACTCAGTGATTAAAAGTACTTAAGACTGGCTCATTTTTCTCTGCAATGAGTTCAGTTATTTCCTTTTTATACCTTCCAGAATTTGCTGTACCATATCTAAATATTGGCTGCAGTCCACATGTTTTAGATCATTCTCTATAATGGTCCTGTTGTTACAGAATCCTTTGTGTGTGTGTGAGAAAGAGAGAACATGCATATGTGTTGGAAGCAATACAGGGTGCACAGAATTGTTTGGAAAGAGAAATCAGGGTATACCAATTCCATAAGGGATTCCTGAACTGCTAACATAAAAGTGATAAAAATAGTGAGCACTGAAATGATAGACCTCCAGTTCATTACCTATATATGTAATAAATAATATTTCTGATCCTAACATGTTACTCTACTATATGTATTCTACCAATATATCACTCCTTCAACTTTTGGTGCTACATAATTTTAAAGATCAGATTTATTGTTGTCACATTTACTCATTTTTACTTGTATTCTAAGTGTAGATCCTTTGACCTGAGTCATATGTGTTAGTCAATGGTAAGCTGCATGAAGATGAAATTAAGGCAGCATCTGAAAGTTCTCACTCATTATATCAAAAGCTCATTACCTGCTGAAGACCACACAGAGAACACGCACACTTAGGGTAAATAAGTGATCTAAGGGAAAAGTGGGATTTGATGCTTCATTTGACAAATCATAAGCTTTAACCAAAACAAACAAAAACCTCAACTCACAGTGTCATAATGTATGGCTAGAGCCCATGAGAATGTAACTGAGAAATGCCTCTACTCCCAGGACAAAATGAGATCAGCAGCCACTTTGCAATAGGTGCCTTTGACTCTTGTCTGGGACTCCACATGCAGAGGATGCATATAAGTGGCAAACAGACAGACATGGACTGATTTTCTGCCCATCAAGTGTGCCCTACCTCACAGCCTATCGACAAACCAGTTCATGCCCATAGCAGGCTGGGCGTCATCCTCATGGAGGATGTATGGAGTCAAAAGAGTGTGGCAAATTTGGTCTCAAATTTCTCTCAACTTCTCACTGTGGATAAGTCATAAGACAGCCTATCTCTGCTGTAAATTCAGACCTTTTTCACATGTGGACAAGTTTTCAACCACCCAGAATGGAACAGATGCAAAAATCCCTGCACTAACTCCTCCACTCATGTCCCACCCTACAGGGCCCTGAGTTGGAAATTAGGCAGAGGGCTTAGCCATTAAAGGGCTGAGTGGATATCATTTTCTGCTGGAATGAATTTCACCCAAAGACAGTATCTATATTTTTTTTCCCCACAAGCTAACATAAATTTCTGCTTTGGTCCATTAACAATACTTTTATTTTTAATCAGAATTATTTTGTACTGTATTTTCTTTGGAAATAACAGTAATACAGTTTATGTGAAATACAAACAAATGAGGGAACCATTTTTACCTAAATGTATGAATAGCATTTTGCAATTTGTCACTGTGATATATTTATCTTTTGAACTTTAAGTGAGCTCAGCTGAAAAAAATGCTTCTCTTCATCACATGACTGGAAAATATATTACACCAGAGAAGAATATTACTGTTTTAGTTTAGAAATTAGAGGCTAAATATAATTTTCCACTATACTTACTTTCACATAGTATGGAGTAAATTATTTACACTACAGTAAATTCTTAGTACCTATTCCAAAAGGTGGTAAATTCAGCATTCTCGCCTAAATTAATGGRTATTTTGTGAATGTACATTAAAACTAAGACCCTTTAGATCCTGTGTTGTCCRCTGAAGCCTTAGAACCACTCTAATATGGCTAGAACAAAGCAAGTTTGTCAAAGAAATGAAGCTTGGAGAAAGGAAAAGAAATGAGTATGAGCAGAAAGGCACAGACTGACCAGTAGAGAAACAGCAGTGAAGCAGCTGAAGATTTGGGTTTGCCATCTGTGTGTCACTCATCCCCTTCTGCAGGTGCAGTGTATGCTGGTCAGTACAGAGTCTTTCTAACCAAAACTTTGCCAAATCCAGAGGTGCCTGTGGTTCCAGCCAGGCGTGCAGCATCACTGGCTGCAGCGGCAGGGGAAGCAGGATGGTGCAGGAGCTCTGTGCCCAGGCTCCCTGGCCATGCCAGCTTCCCTGCACAGCACAGTTCAGTCACTCCTCGCCTCTGAGCTGCCCCAGCACACAGGCTGCAGCCACAGCAGCAGAGAGTCCTCCAGCCTGTGCCATAGTTCCCCTGGATGGCTCGGGACACAGAGCACAGGTGGCTGCACCCTGGACAAGCGTTTCCAGCCATGGCAGCTGCTCCCAGCCACCATTTTGCCCAGGGATCATTCGCTTGTCACATCCCAGATGTGTAACCCTCGTGGGATGGGACAGCAGCCAAGCAGCCATCAGCAGAGGCTGGGGCCGGGTGGGAGCTGTGGCTGCTGCCAGAACAATTCATCTGACACACACACAGCCCATTCCTTACGTGCTCCAGAGCTGTACCCAGGAAGAAGGCTATGGGAACAGGCTGTGGGCCCGATAAATTGTCCCACCTGCCACAAARGCCAGCACTCCATAGGATGAGAACCTGTTTCCTACAGTGTATGGTCATCATGTTTCAAACCTGTTGTGTTTCTTTGATAATTAGGTTGTCTTTTGTCCGTTCTCCCGTGCGCGTAAACAGAGTGCAAAGGAAGGTCCAGGGCTAACAGCATCASTTGGGAGCTCAGGAAATGGAGACAATTCCTGTTCGTTCTTGTCTGACCTAGGGAAAACCACATACACACAACAACTTGGAAGTGTTTGGATACCTACCTCCCACTTAGCCGAGCAAGAATGAAAATCTGTGCCCTATCAGGAAAACGCAGATGTGAGTATTCCCTATTTTCCAGGGCCATTATGAAGATGAAGATATTTCTGGTCTAAAGAGACTGGGGTGATGGCAGTCATTCAAAAACCATATATATGAGAGAGGGTAGTGCAAACACTGAGGAAAGGTTGCATGGTTACCTAAGGCAAAGAAACATCTTTAGATGTTTTTAATTGTGGTTCAGAATTGGAAAAAAGATGTTTAACAAATCTTTATACTTAAAAGCTCTGTCTGAAAACATTCCTAGACTTTTATTTATTTTTTTTATAATGATATCAGTAAGAKACCATTATATAATCACAAGAAAATTAAAACTCTCCAGGGCATGATCTTAGCTGTGTAATTAATGAAGGTGGTTAAAAGTACAAAGTGAACCTGAAGCAAAATTTGTACCAGAACCACACCTCATTATGTTTTGCTGGTGAAGTCTGTCATAAATAGAGATGTTTATTACACATCTGCCATTTAAAGTACATATTACATGCAGTGTTATATTTTATTTAGATTTAAAAATTTAAAAACACATGATGACAAGCTGTGTTACTATTAACACATGCCTCAGGGGGCAGGCTGCACATGCACATTGTGCCTTAGGTTATATTACAGTTCATTCACTTCAGAGTTACAAATCACTTACAGAAGTATATTGTGTAATTAGTGCGCCTAATTTCAGTCCACGGAATTTCACTGGTGTGAAAGAACAATCAAGCCCTGTATATCCATTCACATTTATTAGACCAAACTTTGTAGTCTGTCCTTAGAGCATCGTTCCTTCCTCTGCTTTCACAGCAAATGGCATTAAAATCTCCAGGACTTCCCAAAGCAAAAGCAGGTATTTATTTTTCTTATGATTTTTCCCCCCTTGATTGAGTACTAACTCCAATATATGGGCAGAAAGAGCTAGACATGGTGCACCAGTTATATGCTTCATAATTCTCTCTTCGGGTT